GAGTTTTTTGGGTTCATTGAGAACATGGTTGTTGTTCAATAATAAAATTATTCCTCAAAAATACAACTTGCCTAATAATTCTGCACTCCCTGTAGAGCTGCATGACACAAACAGCAGTAATCTGTGTACCTTAGATGTGATGAGAGCCAATGGAGGATCCAGGGGAAATGTCTTGATCAGGGAAGTGTTTAGTAGTGACCACGAAGAAATTATTGAAAACACTGACACCAATATATATTAGGCTTTGTGAAGATCCTTCAAAAGTTTTCTTTGGACACGGGCTGCTTTCTCACTTGTTTTCAGTGAGAAAACCCAACTTAAATTGTATGTTTAAATACTTTGTCACCAGCAGCCTCTTACGATAACATCTAATTTTTCCCCCCATTTCTTTTGTTAAATCTACAAAATAAAAAGAAATTAAAAGAAAAACCCCGAAGGAATTCATAAAATATTGTTTTGGGTCAACAAGTTGTTTGCCAAAGAGCTGTTAAATGGAGATTTGGTATTTCTCTGCCTGTTCTGAAATTTGAAGAAATTGAACAAAACAAGAAGTGGCAGACCTAAGAACTATCTAGTGAGTCTGAAAGTCATGTCTTTAAGAAATTAGAAAAATATAGCAAAGACCTGACACCGGACCTGAGAGATACATCTGGGCCATCACTTGACCAATCTACTGTTCACTTCATGAGAAATTATCTCAGTCGAAGGGTGGCTGTCAAGAACCGATTCTTAAAAATGGGAAAAGGGAAAAACTATTCAATTAATCGACACATCTATTTCGCTTTTTTTATATATAAAAAATGGGTTTTTCAAGACTTCATTTAATCTATATAATAAAGACACTGTCCTGACACGAGTCTGGTTAACAGAGCAAATGAACCAGCTTCAGATATCAAACTTACAGTGTCCGCCGAAACATTGCAGTGTGCCATGTAGCATGGTTAGCTAACACGCTGTGTTCGAACTGCCCGCTTACTCACCGCTTCTCTCACACCTGCCGCATCGTAACCTTGGTCGAAATACGGCAGAGCATCTACAAACACTTCTCCAGCTACTGAAGCCGTCCCGGCCATTTTTAATCAGTCTATATATCGTTCAGTTGTTGAACTGTCTCGCTTTCTGCTAAATAAACTCAAAATCCAAGTGTCCCCTTTCTTCTTCTTTAATTTCGCGTCTTCTTCGAATTGGCACTTTAGCGCCACCGCATGGTATGGAGTGTTTATCTTGATGTTTCTTCTTTGAAGCGTGCCATGAATTCATAGTTAAATGTGCAATAAAACATTAATTAGTAAATCACGTTTTCAATGTCCTCTTTTTATTTTGTCATTAACAAAGTAATTCATTATTTGATCAATCAATGGGGATTAAAAAATACATATTTCTACAAACTATTAATCCATTATGAAATATCTCAACCTGAAAAGGGGTTTAAAGAAAAATATATGAAATGCTTGTTAAAACATAATTTAAAAAGTAGCCTGAAATTAAAAATTTAAAAACAGATTTTCAAAATAGTTGAAAAAAATACGATTTAATAAGAGAAATGGGTAAATGGAGTTAAAAACTTTTCTGACATTTAAAATGATGATACCATCCCTCCTTTTTAATTCAATTTCCTTTCCATAGCTATTGGATTCTCCATTTTGGAAACCCTGA